GCCGCTATCCATGACCGTCCACATCACTCAACACCCACTCTTATTAACCCGTAATGACACCTCTGGTGCTTGCAAGCGCCAGTGACATCACGTTGTGTTTGCCGGTCCGTTTTGATGTTCACAGGCGCTCCACCTAATGTGCGCTGTCTTAATTGCGATGGGTGTTACTTAATTACGATGGATGATCAAGGGAATGATTTACGCGGCCACTACACCGCTTTGATCACCACGACGCATGGGCTGCTGTCCACGTGAATGTTTGAAGTGAAGTCATTTACAACGTCAGCTCAATAAGGTAGATATCGCCTTCATAATAGGGGCAGCGTTTTACATGTAGCGACTTGTCAATTCACTGCTGGATGGACGGATAGATTTTTGATGGATTTTTTTTTTTAGAATTTTTAGCAGGAAAAGACCAATTAGCCGCTAGACTATATTTCATAGGCGTCTTGAAACTGCACAGATGTTACACAGTCCAGATCTTACAATCACTGTTGCATAGGTCGGGACAGCAAGTATCGGGTTATTTAACCATACTTCACCAGCCTGGACCAGTGCGAGTTACTGAATGCGGGGGGGGCACATACGTACGGTATACAACATTGGTCGTGGCTGCACCTTTCAGCGTGCTTCCCAGAGCGTGGCCTCGCAGTCTATAACACCTGTCACGCATGGCGGTTGCTCATCCTTGAACCCCTTGCTGTCGGGGATTGACCCCCTTGCTTAGCTCAGGAGGTCTGACGAGTTCGGTCATCAGGCAACTCCCCCAGTGCGGCACCGGTGCAATCATCTCTGCAGGGCGGATTTGAACCAGTGGTGGACATTCCACATTCATATGGCCGGGAGGGCGGTGCGGGGCACCCCCTGTGAATTGACGTGCCCACAATTCCTGTTGACGTCCCACAAAGTTCTGTTCACGTTATTGACTCGACGGGGGTGGAATCTGCTGAGCCGCGCGCGTTTCGCTTCCCATGCAAGAGACATCGGATTAGGTCCGTTGGCTACCGATTCAATGCGTAGCGCCCAATGCATCATCTCACTACGTTGGTATGATCACGCTTGTTTACCCGGTATTGGCTCAAGCAAGATAGGGAACTGACACTGTTTGGACACATGTGTGTGTTGGGGGGGGGGGGGACTACAACAGGAAAATTAAAAGTGTTGTTCGGAAAAATGGAAGGAACCGGACAGAGAGGAAGACCTAACGGAGAGTGGCTTGAGTTACGACGACATCGCAAGAGATCGGTGCCAGAAGGATGTGGCCCACGAACTGGGCATATTGGCACAGGACAGAGAGGAAAGTGGAAATACAATTACGAAATGTGCAGTGGATACCTTGCGGGCCTTCTGCCCATGCATGGATCGTGATGACGATGATGATTACCCAGCAAAGCCTCACTGAGTCTCGGCGCTCTTTATTCAACAACCGATGCAGAGCACAGGCGGTGGGAGATACGAGAGACGCCCGAGTTGGGCATCGAACCCGTGACTTCTTGCTGTGAGGCACGAGTGTGAACCACCACTGAGGCACGCAGCCGCCCGGTGAAGGGTATACACGGTAAGTATGTTAGCTCTATGGTGGTGATGATGATGATGTTGATCGTAAACAACGATGAAAGAATGGTGAATATAAGTAACACGATAAATACACCGACGATGAGACATATCTGTTGTGTATTCATGTGTTCGCCAGTTTAATACAGGGTTTTGTGGGTTAGATCGCGAAAATATATAAATGTGTCGTTAAACCCGCCACCACCCGACACGGCCAACTAGTAAGGGTTGTCACGTAAACAGAACGTGGCCAATTCGTCACGAGTACAGCACTGACCGGTGTGTTGGAGAGCCACGCCACAACATTTACAATCTGAGTACGTATGCACGTTGAACTTGATAATTGTTTTTTGCCCTTTTATCTGGCAACAAAACTGACACCTTTTTTTAAAAGGAGTCATGTTTACATTGACCACAATACCTGCGGTAGGAACGCAAACAAAAAACAACTCTGATAATATATGCACTGTCCTTGAAATTGATTGGTCCACACCCGAGACAGCTTTCTTTAGAGCCTCATCTCACATGGTGTTGGACCAGAAGACGCCAAAAGGCTGTCTCGGGTTGTGGACCAATCAATTTCAAGGACAGTGCCACATACATTATCAGAGTTGTTGTTTTTGTTTGCGTTCCGACCGCAGTATTGTGGTCAATGTAATATGACTCCTTGTAAAAAAGGTGTCAGTTTTGTTGCCAGATAAAAGGGTAAAAAAACAATTATCATATTTTGTTACTGGCAAATGAGGTTTCCAATGGTGTACGTTGAACTTCTTTCGCACCTTACGTAGCCAATCGAGCTAATCGGAGGGGTAGGGGTGGGGGGGAAGGACAACAAACTATAATATTATATTTTGCATAGGACTGGAACATACTTAACAGAAAGGGTTCCTTGCTAATAAACATCTGGCAGCTAACTAGCGTTGGTTCACTGACTCTGCTGATGAGACACTGAATTTCGAATCCGGTCGAGAATGTGCCGTATTCAACCAGTGCTGCTGAAATGATGCACTCCCATAAGGCCTTGGGGCTCATGGGATGTTGTAAGTGAAACGTTGATTTATGTTGAGAAACAGACATGTAAAAGGAAGAATATCGTCTGATTGTTAAGGATTATATTGATCGGTGATGACAATAATGATACGATCATGATACTGCTGATGATCATCATCATCGGCCACCATCACCTCGACAATAATGACGATCGTAATGTTTTTACTGCTGCAGATGATGATGACGATTAAGTAGATTATGATGCTACTGATGCAGCTGCTGCTGCGTTGATGACGATCACGATCGATTTAGATTATCTTCCCATGGTGATGCTGGTGCTGCTGCTGATGATGATAATGGCCGTGGTGAAGGGACAAAAACAAAGACAAAGATCCCCCGTATAGCCTGTGACAAGACTGTTGGGGCAAGTGCTGTTAACGAAAAACCTATGAAGGCCGGCACGGCACACGAGGGGGTGGGTGGCCAACACCACGCCCCCACCGCCTTTGTATCCCAGTGGTGATGTTTACACACCGCACCAGGTACTCATTTGCGGCTGAGTCGACCTACGACAGGCCCAGGCCCCGTTCAGATAATCATCACTGGTGTTTGTCCCGTGAGCCGGAATCGAACCCGGATCGCCCTGCGCGTAGCGCAGCGCCCTGACCGCTACACTACCGCTCCCCACACGTACGCCACACACCACACACACGTCCGCACCCTCTCGCGGTGGTGAAAGCCCCCACTGGCTGATGTATTAAACTCGCTCTCGTCGCACGCACAGCCGACAACAACCACACCGCCGTTGCCATGAACGCGCATATACGAAGCGAAGTGGGGGGGGGTGTCGGGCGAATTGATGCGGTGGGGGGTTGTGGGGGGGGTGGTGTAGAATGGGGGGTGGGACTTAACAATTATATATGTTAAAAGTCACTGAGTCACTTATAAACGAGGAGGCGATCAGCCCGTGAACCCCCGCACCCCCATCAGTATGCATGCCTGGCCGAGACCGGCTTCGCTCCAAAGTTACAAAAACCCCGAAGCCTCAATTCCTCAATTCTCGCCCCTCCACTCCGTTTCCCTCTCGCTCAAATGAACGATTATTCCTCTAAAGAAACGAGGGGGGGGGGGGGGGGGGCGGAGGGGGAGGCAAGTGGAGCAGATAGACAGAATAAGAAAGGAATGAAAAGAAGAGCATTAGAACGCAGCGGCGTGACTTTGGCTTTGAGCGAGAGGGATTTTTTGAAAAGGTGCAAACAGCCGCTTCTTGCGGCAGGAGAGTGATGGTGTGGGATGGCTACTCGGTGGTTGTGTGGGTGTCAGCAGTTGGGGTGATGCTGGCCCATTATAGGGGCCCTAAGCAGAATAATTATATTTTTTGGGGTGGGCCCTCCTCCTCCCGTGGAGCGATAAACTCCCAGCGAGAGAGATATGGACAAGGCATGGAGGCGGAGCGAGATGACAGATACCAGCGGTAGTGAGATGAGAGAGGAGTGATGAGAGAGATGACAGCCACGATCGAGACGAGAGATTCATGAGCGTTTTAATGTCCATTTAGATTTTGAATTCGAGCTGACATTTGGTTCACCGCTAATTTACGTGAAATGTATGGACCCTTGGGCTGCTTGGGACCCCAAGTGTTGGCTGAGTATGCTTATTGCAAGCGTCACCACTGAGTGTCGTCACTCCAGGATGCGTGGTGTTCAACTTAAATTTCATCATAGTGATAATAATGCACGCATTCCCCTTTGTTTGCCAAGGTGCATAATTCGCCGAGTCTCAAGAACCCCTTTTCAAGAGGGTCCTACTGCAACGGGATCTTTAGCCGAAGTCCAGTAATGAGTTGCCTGGCTTCGAGTGGGAGGAAATCTGGGAACGGGGAGAAACCCCACCACGAATACGACGCGAGCAACGCTTAAAACTCCGCACAGATAGGTTCAAGGATGCAACGCTGTGCAATACTAACATTCCCCGGTCACCTCGCAGCTCTATGGTCTACATAACACCTCATGGGCCCTGGCAGTTTCCCGTACGAGTGCGAACCAGGCTCAACAATTAAATCCGGATTATCTCACGATATTGGGCACATTGAGGGCCCATTTGGGTCAGCAGTAGTAATACCCATGAAGGCGATGACTATTGTCACGATGACAATTGTTATTTTCATCATCGCTTCACCCGGGCACACAAGCAGACAGGTTTTCGCTGGGATGAGCTGAAAGTATTCGTGGTTTGATCGTTGCATTAAAAAAAATGTTGTTCATCCAATGCACGAACAGCAGTAGCAACCATTCCGTGTAGCACCATACCTCGCCAGAGCTCCCACGTGGCCGAACGCGCATACGGTTCACTGCATGAATACTGATAGGGGAGGAGGAGCAGGACTATGGGAGGGGAGGTAGGGATGTAGGGAGGGAGGGAGGGAGGTGGGTGGGTGAGTGAGTGAGTGGGGAAGAGCGAGGGAGGGTGTGTGTAGAGAGAGAGAGAGAGCGCGGGAGAAACGGAGAGTGAGAGAGACACACAGACACCAAACTCCGGTGGAAGTCAGAGCAGACTTTTGCCTCAATGCGCCGAGACTCCGAGACCCGTCAGCTCCAGGGACGCGGCCACCCCATGCTGCCCCGGGCGAGCATCGCGAACCCAGGAGAAGTCAACCTGGAGGAGGAACTCTCCTCTCGTCCCGCGCCAGGCTTCGCCGCCCTCAATCTCACTTTGCCTTTCGCTGCCATTTCACGAGCGCTCGTCGGTGTCACGAAAGCAGCAGTCGCCGCGTTTTACTTAAACGCCTAAAAGGGAATTATCACCAACGTTTCTTTTTTTTAATACATTTTCATCTTATTCCAAGAACTGTCACGTGCATCACGCACTCGGTCACAGGACCCGCGGCGCGCACTCGGAGCGCGCGCGTGCGTGCGTGCGTGTGAGAGAGAGAGGGAGAGAGCGAAACAAAACGTCTGTCGCGTTTGAACTTTTCACTGGTGGAGCCGGGAGTGGAGTAGGAGCTGGTGGCTGCGAGGTGGCCCACGGTGCTCGCGTGTAAACCCGAGTGGCTTTTGGGCTCCCGCGCGAGATTTTTCGCCCAGCGATGAGCCGGGACCTCCAGCGTTGGCTCCCGCAGGTGTTGCTGTACCTCGGCCTCGTCTACCTGCGCCTTGGGTAAGAAGGAGAAGACCCCCCCCCCCCCCCGCACCACAGCACGCGCGCGCACACTGCTCACAGTCGGCTCCGATTAAGCACGGTCGGCTACGTACGGTGCGAAAGAAGTTAAACGTACGTGCGTACACGCGTGCTCATCTCCATCACTGCTTCCACGCTCATCCATCGATCCCTCCGTCTCCCCGGTTCACCAAAATTTGTTTTCCTGCTCACCTGTCCATCTCTCTGATAACAAAATATATAAGCAGACTACGTATCTCCTTCATATGTCTGTCTTTCCACGGAGCATAAACAACGCGTTTCTTTTTTAGCACTGACCGATACGACCCACGACCCCCCTGGGAGTGAAATCATTTCGGCACTGTCGATTGAGTCGGTACAAGCAGACTGTGCGCCGGTTTTGACATCAGTATCTCACCACCTATCTCTCGAACTCACCCCCCCTCCCCCCCCCGGGTTCTCCGTTGGCTGCGTGCGCTCTGCCGAAGCGCGCACGGCTCGGTCGGTTGGCACAGCGCGGTGAGCATGGGGGGGCCCTTGGTGCCAGCAATGAGAAGTGGGCCCCCCCCCAACCTCTTGGTAGCCCGCCGCCTGGACCCGGTTCGGCCCCTGGAACCCAGAATATGAATCAGAATGTTTATTTATACGCGAGCTAAATTTGATTTAATGCTTTCGTGACTGCAGGGATTCATATTCTTGGTTCTTTCCCTTCTACGTGACTTTGCCGAAAGAACCAAGAATATATATATACGCGAGCTATAAAGCTTTAATTTTTTTTTGCACAGATGTCCAGTAGTCTGGAGCAGTTGCACCGCCTGCTACCACACGCCACGTGGCGCGAAGTCTGAGTCTCGAGGCTATCGTCCAAGAGGCTCCTGCGGTATTTGTACGTTTGGTAGATTTCATCAGTGAGTTGTTTGGCTTCGCGTGGGAGGAAACCAGAATTGCCCGGAGAAAGTCCACAAGGACGCCGAGCAACTAACACTTAAAGCTCCGCACAGAGCGGTGCATTAAAATCCACCTCGCAGACCAAGAGCCAGTAACACGTGGTGGTGTTATTATTATTATTACTCGGCACGAACCAGGTTCAGCGCTGCTTAGCTTCGAGCGCACGCGTGCGTGTGTGCTCAACTTCTTTCGCACCGCGCGTAGACAACCGTGCCAATCGGAGGTGCGTTGCTGGTTCGGCGGTGAGCGTCTCATCCTGTTCACTCGTTGGACGAGCTCACCGAAGCGGAGCGGAAACTTTGGAGCCAAATCTGTGGCGTGCGTAGACGTGGGCTCCCCGCATTCGTCAACCTCGTGCTGATCACCAGCGCGGTGAAGTATGGTCGAGTTAACCCCCACGCATCCCCAAGGCGCCGGGGGGGGGCTGACCCTTTCTTCATCCAGCAGTGGGTTGGCAAAGGGGCTCTACACACGCGTGCGTGTGTGCGCGTGAAGCTGAGTGGTTTGACTCGAGCATTGGATGTTGCTGGGTGTTCAGCAGGTGAGTGGCAGAGTCATTCTCGCACGAGTGGACAGAGACAAAGACGCCCCGTGTAGACTTAACGGACTGTTGGGGCAAGTGCTGTTAGCGAGCGCCTCTGAACGCCGGCACGGCCTTTATAGGAAGGGGGGGGGGGGGGGGGGGGGGTTGAGGGGTAGGTGGTTAACATCACGCACGCCCGGCCGCCTCTGACTCTCCCGTGCCGATATTTACACATCGCACCAGATAGTAATTTGAGGCTGAGTCGACCTAAGGGGCGGCCCGAGACCGGTTTAGACACTCGTCGCCGGTGTTGCTGGGTTTTCGCAGCTCGTTGCGCTAACCGCTGCGCCACCGCTCCCCCACACGTTTACACAGACACACAGGTGTATTATTCTCCGGGTTATAAAACCTTCCAGATAGTAAGACGCACAACCCTCCCCCCTTCCCCCCAAAGTGGTGCCCGCTGTCAGTGTACAACTATCCAGATCTGGCCCCCCACTCGCACGCCTCCCGGATTGTAAGACGCATCCCCAACGTTTGCCTTAATACAGAGAAGCATCCATAATGCAGGGTGCTTTTTGGGGGTTAGATCGCGTAAATATATAAATGTGTCGTTAAACCCGCCACCACCCGACACAGCCAACTAGTAAGGCTTTGTCACGTAAACAGAACGTGGCAATTCGTCACTAGTACAGCACACCGGCGTGTTGGAGAGCCAAGCCACAACATTTACAGTCTGAGTACGACGTTTCGCCAGTAATTACAACCAGCTTCATCAGGCGACAGGCAGATTTGTGGAACAGGTGAACTTCTCCACAAATCTGGCTGTCGCCTGATGAAGTTAGTCTCTGGGTTAGATCGCGTAATTTACGTCATTTACGCGATCTAACCCAAACAAAAACTGTATTATGGATGTTATTCGTCGTGAGAGCCTACTACGTGTTAAACAGATAAGTATGGTATCACAGACTATCGTGATGGTGGTGACTATCTAATGCCAATTCTCACTATGTGCGGAAGAGATGTACGTGTAGAGGAAGATATTTTACCACTCCACTGCTGGACGAGAGCCTCTCCACGTCGTTCGTGTTGTGTGTGGGGACGGGGGAGGGGGAAATAGTGCCAGGTGATCCTAGTAGCAAAAGTAGCTACACATGTAGTAGCTACACATGTAGTAGCTACTACTAGTACTACTACTAGTAGTTACTACACATGTAGTAGCTACACGTGTAGTAGCTACACATGTAGTAGCTATTAGTAGTAGCTACTACACGTGTGTACATGTGTGTAGTAGCTACGGGCCCCGCACTTTCAAGGGCCCCGCGCTAAATGCTTTCAAGCTATCAATTCCGGTTCAGTGATTCTGCACTTGCTCTATTACTATAGTACTATACCGCCTTCAACTTTTACGAACGACTGGGTGTTTAAGGTTAGCGATTTGTCGTATTATCTATGGCTGTATAGCAAATAAAAAAAAATACAATTACTTTACTTTGCAAGTAAAAAAAGTCTTTTTATATTTGTTTTTTTTTATTTAGGGCCACTTTATAACATATGCTACACGCCCCGCACTAGCTTAATCCGGCACTGGCTGGGGGGTATATTTGACCATACTTCACCACGCCGGTGCGTGCTGGTAAAAGCAGGACGCATCTACTCTTGCGGGACACTACAACAATGGATATCGCTTGACTGCTTCCTGCTGCCCGTGTAGTCCTGCAAGCAGCAACAGCAGCAGCGGTAGGAGCAGCCTATAACACCTGTTATGCATTGCTGAGTCAACCCATCCAAGCACGAGTCAGGATCAGCGCTGCTTAGCGTCCGAGATCTCACACAGTGTGTCCGTGTCTCTGTGTGTATTCGTGTCTGTGTGTGTCTCCGTATCTGTACGTGTGTCCATATGTCTGTGTGTCTGCGTGTCTCTCTGTGTGTATTTATGATTTTGCGTGTGTTTCTGTGTCTCCGTGTCTCTGTGTGTGTCTCTGTGTGTGTCTCCGTGTGTGTCTCCGTGTGTCCGTGTGTGTCTCCGTCTCTCTGTGTGTGTCTCCGTGTCTCTGTGTGTGTCTCCGTGTCTCTGTGTGTGTCCACTCTTCCGCGGAAAAGAATCGCGACTTTTAGGACTCAACTTAGCTATGCGTTACGGGTAATATAGCGGATAATAGGATTAAATAGAGCGGCGGTTAAGAGGGGTTTTCGCGGACCATTTAGCTTTTGAACTTAAAACTTTCGTGACTGCAGGAATTCAAATTCTTTGTTCAGCGTCATCAAGTCACGTAAATAGAAAACGAAAAAAAATTGTAAATAAAAGAAAAATAATCAAATAAAAAAATTACATTTATTTAGCTATTTTTTGCTTTTATTATTTTCAATTTATTATTTTGTAGTATTTTCATTTTGTATTTTATTTTATTATTTTTATATTTAATTTAATTTTTTAAATAAAAAAAATCTATTTACGTGACTTTACCGAAAGAACCAAGAATATGACCATATAGCTGCCGCGAATAATAGGAATGCAGGTGCTGTATACAGTACAGTACTATCTGTGAATCACTGGCATATATTACACTACGTAACACAGTTTTTGTTCCTGGGCAGTCAGTGTTATTTCGTAATTGCTTATGCCTAATAAGTATAGAAAATGGCTATTATTCCCCACAAACTTTGCTTTTGTGATCAGGACAGTGATATTTAAAATGTACCTATTTTCAATGAGAAAACGGGCGAATTTGTGTCTTTTCGTTCACATGAAGTAAAAAAAAAACATATGAATCAACATTTACATGTATTTATACTAAAGTAATACGGAAATAACTATTGTAACACAGAGTTATTCAACGGACTCTCACATGCCGGAGCATTGATAGCCTCTATTTATACACACTGTGTTGAGTGGAAGCTTGGATTATGCATGTGTAGTATAATAGCGCCAGCTGGTGGACAGCAGCGGCAACTGCGGTGGACAGACAGGACACCCGCCAGTGAGGGTGTGCACGGTGTGAATTGGCGGAGAGGAGGAACTAGGGCAAGGGTCACGGAGGACCCCATCTGAAGGCCCCTGGAACCTGCTGGCGGGTTCGAGAAGGGAGGGGTCGTCAGGGCGGAGCCAGGCCACGCTGGTAGCATAAAAGGAGCCGAGAGCGGGAGTTCGAAGCTGCCGGTTCTGGGAGTGTCATCTCGTTGTTGTTGTCGCTACTGTCTCCGCTAGATATTTCGCTACAAAGGATAGTAGTTGGCTATCTCAGCCAGCGTCATCAATGTTCGATGGCTAATGGTGTGTACAGGCTAGGCTAAGCTTCTGTGGAGAGTGTGTGGACGAGTCCTTTGGTAGTTGTTAATAAATAAGGTGCCTCCAATAAACTCTGTCTCTGAATCGTTGACACTACAACTGGTTCTAGATTTGAAGCTTTCGTGACTGCAAGGATTCATACTCTTTGGTTTTTTTTCAGTAAAGTCACGTAGGTAAAATAAAAAGAAAGAAAAGAAAACAACTAAATTAAATCACGAAGTTTCGGAGGCAACACAAGCT